CTGCCACGGGGCGGGGGAGCTGTGCTCCACAGACCCGCAGCCGGCGCCGGGAGTCACGGCGCTGTGTCCGCACGACACCTACGAGACACTGCTTGGACGCAAAGGCTTTGCTAGCAGAGCCAGATGCAGGAGAAGGGCCCGTGGTCTTGTAAAAGGAGGGAGCCATCCCATTGCCAGCGCCTGGGACTAGACCCCGGGGGTCTAGGGTCTGGCCACTGACCCCGCTGGCTAGGGGATGGGCTGTGTGTGTCACGGCCTGTCAGCGCGTTTAGTCCATGTGACGCGAGGCCGGGGCGCTGGGACCCTTTGCACAGCGGGAGTGCTGGGAGCCACCGAACCAAACTGGATATCCTGGATATGATGGAAACCCCTTCAAGTGGGGGTGCTGCAGCCCCCTGCACCCTTAGTTCCAGCCCCTCGATTCTGACGGCCCATTCGTCCCCTGGCCTCGTGCTCTTGGTGGTGGCAGCTTTGTGTTTGTTTCAGAGCTGGGACCCGGAGCTGGAGGCTTTTGCCAAAGCCTATGCGGCAAAGTGCATCTGGGGTCACAACAAGGCGCGCGGGCGGCGGGGCGAGAACCTCTTTGCCATCACGGACGAGATGGACGTGGAGGTGGCCATGGAGCAGTGGTACGATGAGCAGGAGCATTACAACCTGACCACGGCCAAATGCGCCCTAGGGCAGATGTGTGGCCACTACACCCAGGTACCTAGCTATGGGCACGAGGGGCTGGGCGGGGAGGCAGCGGTGACGATGACGGGTCCTGTTTCAGACTCATCTGGACAGGACAGAACTGATTCTCGTTCAGCACCGACCTGCTGAGCCGGTTCCCTTTGGTCCTTAACGTCATGGGAGTATTTTAATGCTGCACCCGCTGGTCACTCATCCAGCCTGGTGCTGGCTTTCATGTGCGCTGGTCTGGGATTCAGGATTCAAGCTCTTTGTCTTGAACTCTCTGTTACTCAGGGCCTGGACTTTTCGTTTGGCTTAGTATAAAACGGGCATCTTCCACCCTTCAGCTGCCCCGTGAGTCAGGAGCGTTTGGGCCGTGTCCGGCTGGACAGAGAAGAACCGTCAGTGGGGGTCTCTCATCCAAGCACGAGCCAGGACTGCCGAGCCAGGCCTGCCTCTGGCCTGCTGCTACTGAAGTGGCGCCCTTGCTCCAGGGCCTGAGGCTGCCGGCGGGGGTTGGTCCTTTAGCTCTGGAGGTCGGGGGGAAAGTCCCCGTGGTGACCATGCTGACACTGGTCGCACACTCGCTCCTTTGCCTAAACCTCCTCTCTCAGGCACGTGGCTCACGCTCTCCCATCTCTGCCCTTCCTGCCTTGTGCTGACAGACTTAACCCTCCTCACCTCCTCCCTTGCCATAGGTGGTCTGGGCAAGCAGCGAATACATTGGCTGTGGGACGCAATTTTGTAAAACCCTGCACGGCGTGGAAGATCCTGACCTCTACCTGCTGGTCTGCAACTACAGCCCTCCGTGAGTGCCGCTCTCCCAGGGCTGTTACCTTTGCCCCCAGGCTGAACAGGAAAATGTGCAACAGGCCTCGTGAAGCCAGCCTGGGACAGAGGAGTCCTGGGCGTTGTGCTGGGCTGTGTCCTGGCACACCGCATGGCCGCCGAGCTGCTCTATAGGTCAATGGGCACATCCGGGGTTGTTGCTAGTGGGAGAATTTGGCTGTGACCTGGCCTCTGCCTCATTTTCCCCAGCTACGATCTGGCAAGAATGGGCTTGGCTCCTCTCCCAGTGTAATGCCACCCCTCCGTGGAGCTCCTGGCCGTGGGTTACCTCTGGGCCCTGAGTTCATGGATGTGTAGGGTGCTCTGAGGCCCTCAGTCCGTGGGGCGGTGGACGGGCAAGGTCTGGCTAGTCCCGCTGGCCAGCAGGGTCCCAGTTTGGGGACCTCAATGGGACTAGGCAGGAAATGTTCATGGAAAATGATGAATGTTCATGAGCCTGAGGGTCACTTTTCTGAGAGCTCCAATAATGAGGAAGGGCCTGAGCCAAAGCTGAGTGAGGAGAACGGAGCGCAGGCTCTGGGCTCGGCAGACAGCGCTCAGGCCAGGTGCCATGAGGAGCACAGACAAGGCGGGACTTGAATTTAACATCTCCCTCCTTTCAGCGGGCGCGGGGCGGATCTGTCCTCTCTGTGGCCCCGGGCTGTTCTTTTCACGTGCATTTCTGCTTCCAGCGGCAACGTGCGAGGGCGCAAGCCATACAAGGAGGGCCCCGCGTGCTCCCAGTGCCCCGAGGGCTATACGTGTAGGAACTCAATCTGTGGTACGTGATGGGAGCTGCTGAGTTTCCGCTGGGTGGGCCAGGAACTAGGGGGCAGGCTCCACCCATGGGGCAATCCCCGAAACCAGTGGGGTGAGCTTCCGAATGCAGTGCTAGTCCAGGAGGGAAGGGGGAGAACCTGGCGATGGGGGGATTTCGCTCTTCCATTCCCAGCACTTCTCAGCCCTGAGTCTCAGGCTTTGCCCGGAGGGACGCCTAGTGCTGGCGGGCGCGGGACTGGAGTGCGGTGTTCTCCACAGACCAGCGCAGCAGCTGAGCAAGCGTCCCTCGCACATGCTGCCGTGCCCGTCTGACAGGCCCCGCCCTCTCCTAGGGGCAGGTGGTTTTCATTTTCAGCTCATGCAGCCGCCCGTGGGTGGTGGCTGGCCGCTCTTGTGACCGGCCCATCGGCGCTCGCCCAGCTCAGCGGCCTCCCACCTGGTGCCAGACGGAAAAGGCTTCCTGTCCCATTAGCAGCCACCTGGGTCCCTGCGCCCACAGGGGTGGAGTTTTCTCACCTCCAGAGCTGAGACCAAATGAAATCCTGGGAACTGCTGGGAAATGAGACGGCCCTGCGTCCGGCAGCCACCTGTCAAGCTCTGCTCCTGCCAAGGGGCTGAGAGAGAGGGGTGATTCCCAGAGAGGCCAGGGAAAGTGCCTGCCCCTGCTTTCTCCAGTTCTCCACTGCTGAGTTCACTGGCTCTGCCCGGGGGGTTGGGGCTCCTCTCTCTCCCAGTGGAACTGGTGATAATGCACAGCCCTCTTTGTGTCTCATCAGAACCCAGGGGAGACTCGGAAGAGACCTCTACATCCTCTAGGACAAGGCCGGCCCCCACCACGAC